TAAATAGCAGTGCTCACAAGAACACTGCATAAACTTGATAGGGGACATAGCAAACACGTAAATTCCCAGCGAGTCGAGCCCGTGAGTCAATCAGTTCACATAGCTACCCTGACGCGTAATAAAATCCATAAAACTAAGGAGACGAAGAGACCAGCAAACTCGTTAAACCTGGATTTATTTATGTATTCGGCGAAGTCACAAACCCCAATTAACTCCATGCTCAGCCACCCGGAACGCTAATAAAGGTACTAACCATGTCCGAACAGCAGAGCGCGGACACAAACCACACACAAATCTGCATCGTTGCATTTTGCGGGGTCACAACGACCTACCGAAACTCCGAAACATCTAGTATTCATCTAGTATTGATGCAGGGTCAGGAGATCTGAGAAAAAGCGACATGCAGAAGCTAGCTCGGCGCGCAGCACTTCCTAGTGTCCCCAATACATTCTAGTTCGCTGTGGACGGCTGGGTGTCAGGCAGTATGAGTGTGTCACCCCGTCAAAGCCGTTCTCTGCCTTCTTGTTGAAGCGCGCATGCGACAAAAAGTGGTAGAAAACGAGTAATACGAACGATATGATACAGTCATATCATTTGCTCGTTTTAACAACTGGTGGAGAACGGTTTGGCGACATGCCCAACCGTCCGCAGCGAACTACACTATACACTTCTGCAACTCGGATTTCTTGACCCGTAAGCGCTATGCAAACAGGTTAGCGCCGGTCACTGAGGCAGCTAAGATTTGGTCTTATCGCAAGTCTGTCACTGAATCTGGAACAACACTCGCAAGCACTTCTACCGTCAAAGATGATGTATAAAAAAGTACAAAGCTTCCAGTGGTATGCGGCACAGATTGTACTTTCACTGAAAAGCGTAATGGCTCATTCAAAGCGATGAAACCTACACAATGACTTGTGGGCTCCAGCCGCCAGCATAACAGTGGTTTCAACCTCCCCAGTCGAATTACCCGTAATCGTTTGACGAATTTACCGGGGCTGGAGGACAAGTTGTCCAGAAAGACTACCGGCAGCCTCGCTGGGCGGGTTGTCCGCACCTCCTCGTTTTATGCCAGCAGAGCGGTAGCTGCCGCCTCCGGCTCACTGATCGTTTCTTCACGGCATCCAATGTTAATGCCATCTAGCAGCGAAAAAAAAAACGAAAAAAGGCGGTGTAAAGATTGAACTCGTGACAGAAAATAGCCTCTGATTTCTGGTGGGCGGGAGAACTAGGAAGGCGACAGTACCGTACTTATAGGGGACGCAGTGCCTTCGTTACATATTGCGAAGCCGCGAAAGTTGCACAGTCCTGCAGACTGCAGACCAGACTATTTGTATAAGGAAGGACGCTTACGAATTGCTTGAGAGTGAGGACTGCCTTTAAATGTGACGGGCGCGAGAAAAAGGGAACGTTTTAAGCATATGCAGTATATGTAGTACGTGTCCAAAAAAATGCAACTCACTTCTTAATATCACACATTTCTTCTTTTCTCAACGATAATTCCACTTCAAGATGTGTTCCCTTCAGAAGCCGTACCGATGCATCAGTTGGTTGTGGGACTTTCTAAACATAAGGCACATAACCCTTAAGTTCACTTCGACCTCCTCACGTCTCTCACTTTACTGCCACAACCGTCTTCTTCCCTTAACCTACTGAAGCAAAAAAAAACATACTTCAGGTTCCGGCTGAGCTGGATCCGATGCGATTTCCTGAATAACTGGTGCAACAGGCCTTTTGGCGATCTTCATAGGTTCGATGGAGCCCATCACCGTACGGTTTTTCAGCTTCACACATTTATTTGGATCCAGTTTCAAATGGTGCTGAAATCAAGGCTCCTTGG